TCCGGTTGCTGTGCGGTAGCCAGAGCTGGTTTCGGTTTTTTCGCCATAGCTGGTGTTGATTGTTTCGTTGCAGCCGACGCTGGTTCCGACTGTTTTGCGGTAGTCAATGCCGGTTCCGGTTGCTTTGTCATAGCTCGTACTGGTTCCAATTGTTTTGCCGTACTCGGTGCCAGTTCCGGTTGATTTGCCGTGGCCGTTGCTAGTTTCGGTTGCTTTTCCTTAGCCGGTGCTGATTTCGATCGTTTTTTTGTACTCGGTGCTGGTTCCGGTTCTTTTGTTGTGGTCAATGCTGGTTCCGGTTGCTGTGCGGTAGCCAGAGCTGGTTTCGGTTTTTTCGCCATAGCTGGTGTTGATTGCTTCGTTGCAGTCGATGCTGGTTCCGGCTGTTCTGCGGTGGTCAGTGCCGGTTCCGGTTGCTTTGCCATAGCTCGTACCGGTTCCAATTGTTTTGCCGTACTCGGTGCCAGTTCCGGTTGATTAGCCGTGGCCGTTGCTAGTTTTGGTTGCTTTTCCTTAGCCGGTGCTGATTTCGATCGTTTTTTTGTACTCGGTGCTGGTTCCGGTTCTTTTGTTGTGGTCAATGCTGGTTCCGGTTGCTGTGCGGTAGCCAGAGCTGGTTTCGGTTTTTTCGCCATAGCTGGTGTTGATTGTTTCGTTGCAGCCGATGCTGGTTCCAGCTGTTTTGCGGTGGTCAGTGCCGGTTCCGGTTGCTTTGCCATAGCTCGTACCGGTTCCAATTGTTTTGCCGTACTCGGTGCCAGTTCCGGTTGATTAGCCGTGGCCGTTGCTGGCTTCGGGTGCTTTTCCTTAGCCGGTGCTGATTTCGATCGTTTTCTTGTACTCGGTGCTGGTTCCGGTTCTTTTGTCGTGGCCGATGCTAGTCCCGGCTGCTGTGCGGTAGCCAGAGCTCGCTTCGCTTTTCTTGCCACAGCCGGTGCTTGTCCCGGTTGTTTTGTTGCAGTTGGTGCTGGTTCCGATTGTTTTGCCGTAGCTGGTGCTGGCTCCAATCGTTTTGTCGTATTCGGTGCCAGTCCCGGTTGTTCTGCCGTGGCCGATGCTAGTTTCGGTTGCTGTGCTGTAGCCGGTGCTGGTTTTGGTCGTTTTGCTGCGGCTAGAGCTGGTTCCCAATCATGTGCTGTAGCAGGTGTTGGCTGTAGATATTTCACCGCTGATACTGTAGCTTGCGTAACTTCCGAGTGTTTAATTGCAGCCGGTTTCATATGAAAAGGATGTTCTTCAACTGGGGCGGTTTTTAGTTTTTCCACCGCAATCGGTACCAGGGTACTTCCTACTACATTTGACGTCTCACCGTGTTTTCCCATGGCTGGTGTCATGTCCATCGTCTTCATTCCAAGTTCCATCGATGCTGGTGTTTTCGGCTGCGGTCGCTTAAAGGATGAATGCATCGGGCCAGTGTGTGAAAGAAGGCCCGTTATTCCTGATGTCGAATGGTCCTCAATTTTTGTCTTTTTTCCGTTCAGCATTTCTGCTGTTGCTGTTAGTTCTGGAAATTTTTCATGCTCCGTCGAACCAGTTACAGGTGGTTTTTCAGTTATAGTTATTTTTTCCCTAACAGTTCCGAGCGTTGTTTGTCCTAGCTTTTTGATGGATACCGGAATAACTGGTGGTTTGTGTTCCTGCTTCAATGAGGCAGCAGCTGCCACAGAAGAAGTCATTTGCGTGCCGTCTAGTGATGTGTCGGTGCTGGATTTTGCTGTTACCTCAGCTAGTTGTGACTCTGGTTGCTCAGATGATGGGATTGCTTGTCCAGCAGATGAAAACGGCTTATTTATGTTCGGTTCCCAAAGATAACGCATTTTGTGACGTTCGCAATCCAGCATTCTGGATCGCTTTGATGGCTGTGGAATCTTCTGTGAAGTCGGGTCAGCATCCGTTCCTTTCACCTGCCTTGTCTTTTTGTCGAGTTCTGGATTTGCTTGTCCTAGAACTGTCGACATTTTCTCTGTTTCTGAACATCCGTGTTCTCTCTTTGTAGTACCGCCTTCTAGTGGTAGCACTGACGTGGATCCTATTTGAGCGGCAGTCATCAGTTCTTTGACCTTTTTTTCCGCTAATGGCGTTGCTTCTGGTTGCGATCCTGGGTGCTTCTGTGTCTTCGGAAGTTTGTGTTCTTCGTTGGACGAGGTGTCATCCTGTGGCAGTACCGACGTTGCACCTACTTGAATAGCGGCAATGGTTTCTTTGATCTCGGTTTTTGTTGTTGGTACTGTTTTAGATTGCGGCTGTGGTTGCTTGACCGATGATTTCAACTGTCTTGCTGCTGAAAGCAAGCTTCTTATGTCCGGTGCCCGAACATTTTGCGTCATTCTTCGTTCTCTGTCTAACGCCCTCATTCTTCTCTTCGGCGGTTGCGGAAGATTCTGTTTGACATTAGATGCAACGAAACCACAAGTTCCTTCCGTCTGTTTTTTTGCTGAAGGCCCCAGATTCGGCTGCTGTGAAAATTCGTGCGTATTCCCGATTTCTGATGGTGTACGTTTCCCTTTCGACGAGGTGCTGTCCGACGGCGATGCTGCCGTTAAGCTTTGTATCGCAGTCGGCGTTGTCCCTCTCTCGGGTATCACTGCTGGGGTCTCTCCTTGCTCTCCTGGCTGCATATGCAATTGGCCCACTTGTCCATTATTGGAAACCGCGGCATTTGCGTCCAACACCCATATGTGCTGCTCTTCTGTTTCGTTCAGTTCTCCAGTTTTTAACTGGGACGGATCCAAAATTCCTTGCTTGGCCGGGCTGGCCACCTGTTCACTGTTCATTCCTGTTACGTCCCCGGTCGATGTTGGCCCTGCATCTTCAAGCACGCGATCCAGTTGTTTCAGCGCTGCCAACAGTTCTTCTGTTTCCGGGACCTCGGATGCAGTGTCTGGTGGAATTATCTTCCCGAAGATGGCTTGGACCTCAGACTGGGGTAGTTCAGTGTGATCTGTTTCCTTTATATCGGATTCGCTGTTCATCCCGCATGTATCGTTGTGATCTTGTTTGGATTCTGATTCATTGCCACAGATCCTCCCAAAACCAAATTTTTGCTGTTTGAGCTGCACTGATGTTCCCTCACAAATACCCACTTTTCCTTGCAGTTTTTGGAGCTCATTGTTTGCATTGTCCACTTTTTTTGTTACCAGTTTGTGCGACACACCTGTAATTGAATTCATTAATTAGCATGTTTTTCACACGGTGGGATCTTCAGCAGCAAAGTTTGAGGCGATGTGGTGATGCTTATATTAAGACGGCTAAGACCTCGATAAATGCTCCTGGCAGTTACTTCACAAGACTATCTAGATATTCATAACGCCACGGATTCAAAAAGTGAAGTACGGATTTCCTGGTAAATAAGCTTTTCGTTATGAATGATCAAACAAAAAACGTCCTCATTTTTAATATGACTGAAAAACAGATATTTTTTGAATAGGAAAATGAGAATTAATCTCATCACCTTTCTAGAAGGATTTTTTTCAGCTTGCTATCTCTTCGGCTTTTATTTCAATCTTTGCTCACTTCGGCTGCTTATTCACTGAGTCGTTTTGGGGCAAGGCAAAAAAAAAACTTCGCGTTGAATTAAGAAAAGTTTTTTCAACATAGAAATCTTGCTTACATGGTTTTGCATGCGCAGTTTCAGACAGGTCATCCTTACTTGCTGACTTATTTGTGGATCGCAGGGTTACAAGATATCCCGGTATCTCCTGCTCGCTCTTTTCTGTCTTTTCAGCTGAAATTTACACAGTAAGAGATTCGTCTCATCCTCTTCGTCGCTGATCCAGAAGTAAAAAGGGCGAAATTTCGAAGCGATGAAAAGGGGGAACGTAATGTTGATTGTAGTAGCTATGGAGTAATGGGAAGAAGAAAGGGAAGGGCGCAGGGAAAGGAAGAACGAAAAGAGGTTGAAGGTGATTTGCAAGAATGAAAGACAACAGTTGATAGCAGATTATCGATTGCTAGCAGCGCAATGTTAAAAGAATTCAGAGAAGACGCCAAACCGGCGGAAGGATCCGCTCGAACACCTTTGAAATTATGTGAATGGGAGAAGCACTAAATAGAGAAGAATGCAGAAGTCGCCAGCAGCTTCAGTGGTGGAGTGAAAGCGTGCCTACTGAAAGAATGGCAAGGAAAATTATCAGAATAATATAAAATTTAATAATGAAGTACTTACAATGTGATTTGTTTGCATCTTCGTGCGAAATATTTATTGTGTTATCCGTTTTTTCTTCCATGCCAGACAAACTAGCAGCTAACTGCGACGATGTTTTATTGCATTCTGGACATTCATGCTGCATCATCCAATCCTGTGCTTGCATGTACAGATTACGACATTTTGAGCAGCAGGTTGTGTTGGAATCCGAAGTCTGTGTAGGCACCGATGATCCCCCTGGACTGCTGTTGATCGTTGCATTCACCGAGCCAGGCAAGCTAGTCAGCTGCGAAATTGTCTTGTTGCATCCAGGACATCCATTCAGCATCGTCCAATCACTCATTTGCGTGTACATTTTACGACACTGCGAGCAGCAGGTTGTGTTGGATTCCGAGATCTGTGTGGGTACCGATGATTCTGGACGATTGGTTAATTCCGGATTGCTGGTGCTCGATGTGTTCACCATTGTTTCGTTGGTACTTTCGTTAAATTCACTGATGGTCTCGTATTGCTGCTGATGATCTTGAATGGTTTGCTCGGATTCAATGGTTCGCTCGAATTCACTGGTATCGCCGGTGTCATGCGACTCCACTGGTGCTGCTAGTATAGCGATAACAGGTGGTTGTGGTACCACAGTACCAGCACCACAAGCAGCACATGCCACCAGATTACTGTCCATTGCACCGTAGTATGCACCACCACCACAGCAACAATGCGCCATCGTTGTATCACCAGGTGCAGTTGGCATACCACCGCAGTGGGGACAAATACCATAGATTGGTGCGTGTGACACAGGGACTCCCGCGGTACAGTTCGCGCAAGCGTGCATGGAAGCAAAACCCCGCTCTGCTGCTAAAACATCTGGACTGCAGTGCATGCACGCATGCAACGCACCGTTTTGCCCTGCGTCTTCTTTGTCCGAATCAGTTTCGTATTCGCAATCGGACATCTCTTCATTTGGGAATAGCGGGATTGCTCTATGAATCCAGAAAATCCCTTATTCCCTTGTTTGAATCTTCAGCAAACCGCTTATCCCGGAGCGACGAAAGCTGCAGAGAGCAGCTTTCAAAATTTCGATGATCCTGCAATTCTTACATTTTTTTTTTTACTAGAGGCCATAATTTTTGCTTCATCAATTTTAATTGAACTAAATCAAAACACCACTAACAATAATGGTAATGACAATAATGGTAGTAGTAATAACAACAATAATAGTGTGGTAATAATGATAATAATATTAATAATAGCAGTGATAACAGTAATAATAACTTGCTTCCGGGTCACAGAAGAGGTAGCGGTGCTCAATATACCCCAGTGATTTCTCAAAACAGCTAAAATCTTATAGCGTTTTCAATCGATGAAACCGCTTGGAAAATGAAACGACACTAGAATCTCCAGCTGTTCAGTACAGCATACAGCAACGGTCGAAGCAAATGGA